CATCTTGCCGGCCATTCCGGCCACCCTGACAAAGCAATGCGCTTTGCTCGCGCGAGCCCAGGCAGCTGTTTGGACCAGTCGTAGATGATCGTTAACCTCTCTGGGCATTGACTGGCCCTTTTTGTCGGCTATCAATATTGCAATCACTTCGTTAATCCCAATGGCTAGCAATACGTGCGTGATATCACCTGCCACTTGTTCGTCCTCATCTTCAACTCGATTGCTCTCGTGCGTGGGTCGTTCTTCCCCTGGTAACTGATCGGTCTCTTGTTGTTTCGCGCGATGGGCCCTTCAGCCTGACGCTGGTTGCTTCGAGCTCGGCCCCGCCAAGTATCGCATGGGCTACTCGCATGCTTCCAATGCCCTTCCAATCGTCGCACTGCTCCGCGACTCCACCCGTCATTGTTGATGGCGCGCGCCACCATTTTGTTTGCGTTCGGTTGGCATGTTCCCATCGCCACCATGTTCCACTTTAGCCCCAACTAATTTGCAGGATGGAACAACTCCTGTAAGCCCCGTGGGTTATAGACAACTTGCTGGCCCGTCATGTCAGGTGATCGCCGCCTGGTGCTGCCGCCCCACCTATTACTCGCATTTGCTTTACGAGCGTTGCTTCCTCCTCCCTCAGTATGTTCAGCTTTTCTTCGGCGGCGACGCCAAATCTCCAGTGCGCCGAGGATTGGCGGTCCTTTCGTGCTCATCGCCGCCCATAGCTCTTGCCCTACATTCGGGGCGGCAAGGTTTCCGGCGGGCGCCCCCCCTGGCGGCGGCGCGGCATCCGCGACGCCCTGGTGCGGCCCGCATTGTTCGGCATGCGTATCTCTGAACGGCCATGCCTCTTCCCGCACGCGGCCGCGCGCGAGCATTCTCCGGTCTCACTGGCAAAAGAGGCGCGTGCTCAAGCGCCGCGGGTGGCACCGCGCTGCCCGTCGCGCTAGGGCGCGGCTGCGATGGTGAACCCATTGTGGAGTGCTTTATTCGAAACGCGCCAAACGTGCCTCCTATCATCGCTGCCTTTGCGGCGATGCTTCGGCTCGCGCCGATTTTGGCGCGGCGCGCTCTTGATTTCGATTTGGGCTCAAAATTACACCGCCCTTTCACTCTGGTCTCGAGAGACATGTCTCTACCTGAGTCATGGTATCGCAGTGTTGAACTTGCGTCAACGGCGCCGCCCATGCGCGGTCTTGCCATTTCTGCCAGCGATAAACTTGTTGACCGGCGAGGGAGCGCACGAAGCCACGCGGGGCGTCGCGCGGTGGCCCTCGGCGAGGTTGATTGAATGGTTGGCGTCGGCTGCGCCCTGCGAGCTTTTGACTTGACTTCGACATGTTCTTGCCGCGCTTCCGGCGTCTCCTTTTGGCTACCGAGTCTCCAACTGGGCTAGTCTCGACCCCCGTCGCCATCGACGCCGGGGTCTTCGCATACCCCTCCAGCGAGGTGGCGGAAGATGACCCATCACTTCTTGGAGCTGTCGCCCTGCGCCCCGCGAGACAGATCATGCATTCCATCGCGTTTGCTGGGTCGCTGTCGACTCCGCTCCTTTTTGCGACTCTGGCCCACGCGCGCGACGTCTCTCGGCCGTGCATGGCCGGCGCTGGTTGGCCCCGCTCGTTGCCTCACTGCCGTGTCTTTTGTCTTTTTGTTGCGCGGTTATTTTGCTTCGAGCGCGCGAAATCAGCCGCGGTGACTCGCGAGTCCTCCGCGTTGACCCCCCCCATTGCGCGCGCCCTTCTTTCGGCCCCGCCTCGCGCGCGGCGAGGGCGCCACTTGCGAGGCGGCAAATGGCCAACGCTGCGGCCCCCCACCTCCGCTTTGTCGCGGCGAGGATCGCGCGCTACTGTCGCGCGCATGTGCCAACTTCGCTTGCAAGCGCATCGTCGACCGCAATATCTGCGCCACTTTCGCGCCCAAACTCGCGTCGGTCATCGGCGCCGCGGCTCTCGCCGCTCATTTCTTCCGCGTTCCCCTGGGGCCCGGGGCCGAGAGGAAGAGACTCTCGCGGGAAAAACCAATGCCTCGGGCAATCTGTAATATGTGTCGCCCCATCCGCGGGCCGAGCCCGCTTTCTTCTCCTTCGGGAACGCGAATGGAGAATGGGGGGCTCTGTCGATTTCGTGGAGCGCAGCCCTCCTGCCTGAAGCTTCGCGCCTCAAAGGACTGCGCAGATTGCCGCGGGCATCCCGATCCAGTCAAACCCTGTGGCCCTCGCCGCTTCTGGTGCCTATCCCAGCGCCCTCTTGGCGCTGGCGCGGGCATTGTTGCCTTGTCACCAGCTTCGTTTTGCCCTGCTCCCCCTACTCGGCGCCCGTGATTCTTCATTGTGGCTGCGCCGAAATGGCGGCCGCCTTCCCCGGGCATCCGCCCATTTCGCTGGGAAGCGCGCCCCGGCGTTCAGTTCCCCGACCGCGCTATGAGCTCCTGAATCGACCTCTGCGTTCACTCCTCCTGTTCTGTGCATTGCCTCTACCAATCCGAATTTTCGGCGCGTTCGCTGTCCTCGTAACAGCCGTAATTCTGGCGCGTCATCTTCCGACGTTGAATCACCGTCTCTTGTCGCGTGCCAAATCCTTCTGCATCCCCGCCGGCGTTTCACATTGTGCTCCAGGCGGATCCGGGCAATCGCAAGTAATGCCGTTGCATCCTGGCTCCATCTCTGGCTGGGGACCGATTCCTGGTTTAGTGCTGCCCTGTCAAACCTCGTTGGATCCCGTGGTGCAGTTGGCTGCAAAGCGACCCTGCTGTCGACGCTTGCAAGGTCCGCGCGTCGCACTTGCCGCCTGGCATGCCCAGTGAATGCTCTGATTGCTTACCAACTCCTTTGTAGTTGCCGCGGTTGCCCTTGTCGCATCTCTCCTGCCGGCCTGGGTTTCCTCTCCCGTTGTCGCCGTGGCCCCTGACTCTGCAGTCCGCGGCCGCGTGGCCCATATCGTCGCACTAGTAGCAGATGGTCCTTCCTTTGCCTTTACATGGGATGACGGCGCCCACGTCTCCTCCGCCCCTGCCTTGGTCACTATTCCAGCCAACGTTGCCTCCTTGGCCACCAAGTGCATTATTCGCCGTATCGTTCGCGGTAACTTCCTTGGTCTGCTTCTGGTTCAACGCGCCCTTTATCCCTGCCCACGCCTCCGACGCCCATCGCGCCGCTGCTCTTCGCGCCAGTGTCCAATCGCATGTTTCTCCGGTTAACAATTCTCGCACCGCAACTAACATGTTTGATGCGGTTTGCTAGCTAGGGCATCGTGCGACTTGGAGCAGACCTCGCTGTCGGTCATCAAACAACACCCCAGCGCGCGGCATTATAATCATTCGAGCCGTTGCGTTGAGTGTTAGAACAGCTCGTGCGATTTACCGCATGTCTCGAGCTTCTCTACCAGCGCGCTCCACTGCTCGAAGCGACTGATGTTTCACATGTTGTTTTCAGGTCGTGGCCGAGCCAAACTTCGCCGATCTTGTAACACCTGTTGCAGCACAGTGCCACATATGGATCTCAATGTAAACGATCAGTCCTTCACCTTCTTTGGGGCCGTGTAGCTTGCGTCGCGCCTCGTCGCTCCCTGGTTTCGGTTCGGATTTGCCGTAACCTTCGCCCGGCTTGTGAATTTCACCTTCGTCCATGATATATCCATCTGCGCGTTGTTCATGTTCGTGGCTCTTCTCTGCCGAAGCCTTCGTGTACCCTGTTGCTGTTATGCTTCCGCCGAATATTCTTATTGTACCTCCTTCGTCGCTCGGGCCTGGCACATTTCTGTCCATTCTGTCAAACCTTGAATTCAGTAAGGTGGATGCCTTGTGGTGCCGCTTCAAAATAGGACTCTCGCTTGCGAGCTCCACCCTGTGAAAGACACGGGATCTCACGACATGTGGCACTGCACGGTTCGATGGCCGCTCCTTTTCAACACTGGAGCTCTCGCCCACGCCTTCCTCAATTGTGCACGTGCACAACAGTTACACGGATGGAGTCGGGTTGCTCTTGTTCGAAAGGGGGAAATCGCGGGACATATCGTTGAACAGCATGGTCATCGTGTTTCGTAGTCAGTACAAGGCACTCGAAGGATGCAAACCAGTTCTTTTTCAATCCGGGGCCTTTGCCAACATGGCAGCCCCATGTGGCTTGGGCTTTCAAAAAATATCAGTTTTTCTTCGCGAGCATGAAACATGTAGGGACGTATGAGGACGGGCCTTGGGACGGGGTAGTATAGCAGCATCGTTGATGCATCTTGGCAAGCACTCTGGTCCTCCTCCTCCTCCTCCTCCCCCTCCTCCTCCTCCACCTCCTCCCTCTCATCCTCTTTCCCTTCGATCCTGGCCTCACCAAAAGCAAGGTCAACATAAATTCGGCAATTGTCGGCCTCTGGAACCCTGGGCGCCAGCAGGCTCGAAACTCTAAATTGGCATCGCCGTGACAAGCCGGTATGACACATGAAACCCTACCCTTAGGTCGGGCATGTCCTCCTACAGGCGGACTCTGGGCCAAAAATAAAAATCAAATAATAAACTGGTCAAACAAATACGCCCAAACATTTCCCTGACGTATCTTCTAAGTATTATGTTTGAATATTCCTCCTGTAGAAGGACAGGCCCGACATCACCCTAGCCTGTGTTCCTCCCCTCCCCTCCTCCCACCTCTCTGGCCCGAGCCTGGACTTGCAGCGGGCCGTCCGCCAAGACTGCCTCCAGCAGCCCCACCAGGGCCTTGTCCCCCCCCGAGTTGAAGATCAAGTCCTGCGCTGGGGTCATCCAGACAGCGGGGGGGGGAGGAAAAAGATTCTTTGCTTTTGTCCTCTTTGGGCCTGGGGTGGCCCCAGGTGAACTCTCGAGGACGGGGAGTGGGAGGAGGCGGGAAAATGAGGGGAAGCCCTCGGGACCCCCTGAAACCGTCAGTGGACTTCTGCTTTCCTCTCTTCCCCTCCTCGCTCCTCCATGCTTTCTCATTTCTCCTCTTCCTCCTGGTCGCTTCTCCTCCTCTCTCCTTCTTCCTCTCTCGCTCCACCTCCCTCGCTCGCTCCTCGTTCGCTCCCCCTCTTCCTCCTCTCGGGCGCGGCCTGACCCAACCCTTCTGTGACGAGCCCCTTCCGTGTCGATCCCGTCGCCCTCGAGAGGCTCCCCTCACAGCCGCCTGCCCACGCCTTGGAGCGAGGCGACCGGGCCGTCGCGGAAGAGACCGGCCACACAGGGCTTGGAGCAGGCCGCCCCCTGGAGCCTCCAGGCTCCATGGGCAGCTCTGGCCGCGTCCTGGTTCTCCGGGCACCTGCTCGCGAGGTTCGCGAGCGCGGCCGCGGCCGCGCCGCGGGCCTTCATCGTCGTCATCATCAGGCGTCGTCGTCGTCGTCGATGTCGTCGATGTCGTTGTCGTCGTGGTCGTCGTGGTCGTCGTAGCCGTCGCAGTCATGGTCGTGGTCGTGGTCGTTGATATCGTCGTCGCCACCGCCGTCGTATTCCTCGTCCTTGTAGCGGGCCTCCATCGAGCCCTCCCTGAGCGTCCGAACGAGCTGAGGTATGGCCCCGGCCTTTGCGATGAGGGGCTTGTTGTCCTCGTCCCGGCATGGAAACCCTTTCCCACGCCAACTTACCTCACCTCTCCCCCCGGGTGGAGGTCGGAACATGGATGAAGGATGTGCAGCGGGTTTCTCGCAACTCCTCGGAGGTTCCGGCGGTCTTCAAAAGTTTACGCCAATGGCTGATGAGTCGAGGAAATGATGATTATGATGACAGTGGTTGTGGATATGAAGAAATCATGCTGGTCGCACTTGTTCGACATGAGCCGATGGCCAGATCAATCTGGGCCATAGGTCCCCGTCCCTGGAATACGTGCAGACGCCCCTGACGCAACTCCGAAAACACCCAACCCCGCAGAGAAACCCCGACGCCCCCACGAGCCAGAGACGCCGAGGGACCCGAACGCTTTACCAGCGCACTCAGTACCAAGGCGAGGTAGCCGCGCCAGCTCTGACCCAAACCGCCACCCCCTTCGGCGAGCGGGCAAGCAACGGTAGCAAGAGGCAACAGCAGCCGTCTGTCGAAATCCCGGAACGCGCGTGAGAGCGAGGCGCGGCCGTAGCCCGTGGGCGCACGGGCCGCAAATTCACCCCGCCCATTTGGGACGCGCCGCTATCCGCAGGCCTGACCGGCACGACGGACGGTGCATGACTCTGGAAACGGGGTGCCCGCTCGTAGATTCGCGTTCGCGAGGAACCGCGCCACGGAGGCAAGCCCGACAAGGCCACCGCTCCTGCCTCCCAGCAGACGGCGAGCGCAGAGGCAGCACCATGGCAGAGACAGCGCGGAGGCCTCACCCACGCACAAGCATCGACATCACAACGCTCCAGGGCTGTCCGTCAACATCGAGTCGCACCATGATTCAATCAGTTTGAACGCGACTCAGACCCTGGGCACCGCACTCAACACGAAACTACGTGGGCGGCACCGCGGTCGCTTGCCGTCTTACGTTACATAAGCGGGTCCTCCGTGAAGCTGCTCGGCCATGGCTGAGCCCGACCAGCGCTCAGGCAACGCTCAGCACAATGTGATGCAAGTCTGAAGAATCCTGACGCGCTCGACGAGTCAGAAGGAGCTGCCGATCTGCACCCAAGCCGTGGTCGTACTTGCGCCGCTGTGTGAAGGCCGGCTCTTCTTCCTCCTCCTCCTCCTCCTCCTCCTGCTGCTCCTCCCCCTCCTCCTCCTCCTCCTCCTCCTCCTCCTCCTTCCCCTCCTCCTCCTCCTCCTCTTCCTCCTCCTCCTCCTCCTCCTCCTCCTCCTCCAAGAAAGGGGGGCGGGCGGTCTGCGTGGCCCACGCGCTCCTCCGCTGGCCGCAGGCCTGGAGCCGTCGACCCGCCGCGCAGGTGTCAGGCGGGGGCGTCGTCGCGCGAAGCGTGCTGCCGTGGCTGGCGCCTTTTCGTCCGTGCCACTCCGCTAAGCTTGGCGGCGCGCAGAGGGGGGTAAGTTAGGGGGCTGCTTCTTAGGAGGCGCCGGCCTTACATGTATAGAGAAGGCCCGCGCCTTCTAAGAAGCAGGGGTGCTTCTAAGAAGCCTTCCCCCCCCCATCCCCCCTCTGCGCGTGGCCGAAGCGCACGCGAGCGCGTTCGTCGTTGCCACTCCGCTGAGCTTAGGTCGGGCACGTCCCCCTACAGGCGGATTTTGGAAACAAATCAAAAAATAGTAGGAAAACCGTCCCCGGATTATTTCTTGCCTATTTATAAATATTCCTCCTGTGGAGGGACGTGCCCGAGTTAACGCTGAGCGCACGAGAGCGCGTTGCCCAATCCCCGTTGGCACATCAGTTCGAAGTCGGCCCGTCGCCATCGGCCTGGCCTCCGCAGCCGCGGTCGCCGTCCACGGTGTCCTCGCGTCCCTCACCCGCGGTGCATTTGGAGCTATCGGGCTGCGCCTGTCTGGGATGGACATGTGAGTCGTGGCATGACAGGGGCGAGTTTGCGCGCGGCGTTGCGTATGTTTTTGTTGCACGGTCAGTGCCGAAGACAAATTATATGCCCCTCACACACTTGTGCCCACTGTGGTTTGCTCAACTGAAATCCCCCCCCCCGGGGGCGCTCGCACCGTGCTTCTCATCAAAGAAATTATTGGGCTTCAAACTGTTTTTTCGACCCCCCCCCGCTACAACAACGGCCGCTCCCGCCTGGTACATCCTCACCATGATTGAAGGATCATCCTCTCGCTCGAAACTTCTACAGAACTTACTCAAGAATCGCGCTTTCGCTGGGAAATTCCCAATGAATCAAACATCGCGCTCCCGCTGCTCAGGAATCGTGCTTTCGCTTGGGACTCCCTCGCGATTTACTAAGGAATTGCGGCTTCGCCACTCGAGACTTGTACTCTCGCCCAAAATTTCCCACACACGACTTAAGAATCTGAATCGCGCTCTTGCCCGGTACCCTCCTAAGATTTGTCCAGGAATTGTGCTTCAATGTCCCGCCCGACCGACCCGCCCATGAGGGTCCGCCCGCCCGACCCACTCAACACCGCCCGACCGGCCCGCTTGTCCTACCCAGCCGGGGTTGACCCATTAAATGGCATGGCAGAAGAAGCCCCCAAAGGGGTCCGTTCGAGAGAAGAAGGCGGGGGTCAAGGGCCTGGGCAATAATACATGTTGGATGGGACGCGGGCGGCGAAGAGAGAGAGAGAGAGCAACCTTACAATGATTATGTTGAGTTCTCTCTTCTTAAGAATGATTGTCGTCCGTCTACCTTGTTTGGTGCCCATTTCGCCTTTTTCAATGGAAGTTCCCCACCGACACTTGCGCCGACTCAAGTTGTAAGGCAGACATTCCTGCTCAAGCTGCGCCCCTGGGCCCGAGCTACAACGACAACGGCTCCCGCCGAATACATCCTCACAGTTCGTTCAGCGATCGCGCTCTCACTCGAGGCGCCTTCCCAGTTTACTCAAGAACCGCGCTCTCGTCTGGGACTTCCCCAGACATCAAGCGGGAATCGCGCTCTCTTCGCTCAGGAACCGCGCTCTCGCTTGAGAGTTCCCTGTAACGCACTGAGAATTATACACTCTCACCACTCGGGAACCGCACCCTCGCCCACCAAGAATCGCGCGCCCTCGCCCGACATCCCCGAGATAACCCGCCCGCCAAGGTCCGCCCGCGAAGGCCCGCCCGTCCAACCCGCCCGTCATGCCCCGCCCGCCCGACCCGCCTTCGCCTGCCCGTCCGACCAGCCCCGCAGCCGCTGGCCCGGGGAAGGAGCCCGGCGCGCCGCCTCGGTCGCCGCCTGGCACCGCGCCGCTGCCGCGCTCGGCCCCAGCTGCCCAGCGAGCTGCCTCCGCCAAGTGATCGGCCAACGTGACGTGCACCGCTGCTGTCCAGAAGGAGAGCTACTTTGAGCTGGTCCTCGGCCGTGAGCCGCCACCTCGGCATACGGTCGGGAACTTTTGCCTAGCGTGTCGCAGCGGCGGCCCCGGCGACACGCTATGCCTTGCGAGTGGATAGCGTGTCGCTCCGCTCCGCGGGGCGGAAGGCTCGGAAAAGCTCTGGACGTTGACGCTGGAGGGCCGGAAGTGGATAGCGTGTCGCACCGCAACATGGTGGGCCAGAACCGGCGGAGCGATACGCCATCCAAAAGTCACAGACCATAAAGTGTGGCTTCGGCCTCTTGCACCGTCCCTGTCCGTGCATCCACCCAGCGCCCGAGGGGCACCGCCGCAAGAGGCTGCTGGGCGTCCCCACAGATCACAGCCTTGGTCCGATAGAATAATGAAGCAAAAGCTGCAGAAACATGAGCTTTTGAAGGTCCGCGCGGGTTTCTTGGACCTGTGCTGAACCCCCTCGATGGAGGCGCCGCCAGGGGGCCCAGCGCCGATCCAGGAAATCCGCGCGGAGCGCCGAAACTTTATGCTTCTACATATTTCATTCTTCGAGCAACATATAACCAAGCAGGCGCTGCCCGGGGGCGCGCGACGTGCTCTGCTGCGCTGCAGGGGTGCCGCGGCGGCTTGCAACACACACGGGGTGAGGTGCGGAACCGGTCCGCCTCACCACAGCCGCCGCCGGAGAGAGGCCGAGCTGCGATGGGCGCTGCCGCTTGCTCGCCGCCAAGGATGCGAGGGCCTCTCCGCGGCCCAGCTCAAGTGAACCGAAACGTGTACGGATGATGATGATGATGATGATGATGATGATGATGATGATGATGATGATGATGATCATCATGATGATGATGATGATGATGATGATGATGATGATGATGATGATGATGATGATGATGATGGTGCTGATGATGCTGATGATGACGATTTTGATGGTAACGCTGATGATGCGGCTGAGGACAAGCAGGAGGATGGACCAGGACAGGGGGGATCCTCGTCCTGCATCTCCTCGTCCACTCCTCCAGCTCATCATCATCATCATCATCATCATCATCAGCATCATCAGCATCACCATCATCATCATCACCATCATCATCACCATCATCATCATCACCATCATCATCATCAGCATCATCATCATCGTCATCGTCATCACCATCATCATCATCATCATCATCATCATCATCGTCATCAGCATCATCATCAACAACATCATCATCATGATCATCGTTATCATCATCATCATCATCATCATCTTCATCATCATCATCATCATCATCATCATCACCCCGTCCCCGCATAATTTTCCTTTTTCTCTCCGTCCTCACACATTTTTCCACACCTGCCCACCTGCACCTCTGTGTTACTCTTCCTCCTCCTCCTCCTCCTCCTGCTACACCTCTCTCTCTTCACTGCTCCTGCTTCTCATCCTGGGCCTCGTCCTGGTCCTCGACCTCCTCCTCCTCCGCCTCCTCCTCCTCCTCCGCCTCCTCCTCCTCCTCCTCCTGTCCTCCTCCTCTTCCTGCGCTCGAATCAGAGGAAGAAGGAAGAGCGGTCCCTCAGTCCTAACCAAAAACTGTGAAGGGGGGGGCCCATCGGAGCGAGACCATCTTGTCACCATGCCAGAGCTTGAAGAGCGCCATGACAAGGGCCAGCGCCAGGGCCCCCCCCCCTTCCCCACACGCCAGGGAGGCCGAAAGGCCGGCCCACTTTCCATGAAATCCCGTGGCCTCCACGGCTCGGGGAGCGAGACCCACGCCTTGCCCGCGAAGTACTCGCCTC